AAAGCCTTTGCAGTGGCTTGCAAGATATAAAACCAGTAAATCAACATATAAGTAAAATAAAATAGAACAAAAATACCTTTATTGGACAAACTCCCCAGCAGCCTTTTCATGATCCAGTAAAATTGCAGAGGCCTGAATTACAGTCAGTCTCAACTCAGTCAAAGCAGGGTGTCCTGACTAATGATCTGGGCAGGTACTTTGAACCTGAACCATATAGGGATGGGCAGCTTTCAGCCCTCCAGGTGTTTTGGTCTACAGTTCCGCAAGACCTAGCCAACATAACCAATGCTAAGGTTGATCGGTGTTTTAGACCAAAAGCTCTGTATGGCCACAAGTATCTCAGCCCAGGTCAAGAGCTTTAAAAGTCAAAACTGGCACTTGGACTTAGGAAAAAGGTGGGATCCAGTATAGTTCTCTCAATGCAGGTTTAATATAATTAAGTCTTATTCATGGGCTACTACATTCTGAATTGAGTGGCATTTCTGAAGAGTCTTGCTTAGTACATAGCCTATGTTGAAATAATATAATTAGTGGAACATTAAACAAAAGAGCTGCAGAATTATGTGGGAGCACAGCATCTTCAACTACATATGCTTTCTAACATTTGAAGAACTACAAAATGACAAAGAGTAAAAGATTTTTAAAATTTGTTTTTTTCAGATGAAGATGAGAAAACTATATTAAATTTAGAGAATTTGAATAAAGGGCTATCTACAGAAATTAAAGAAGTAAAAAAAGACCTTGGCCAGCTACAAGAGAACTTGAAGGCAGCAGAAGATACAAATCTACAGTTTGAGGGGCAGCTGAATAAGACAATCAAAAGTTTAGCTACTGTTATGGATGAAATACACACCGTACTTAAGAAGGTGAGGAGTTCTCTGATTCTCCCTATGAAATATATAAAACAGGATTGCGGAGGGTAAAAAGAGGTTACTTTTAATTGTTCACAGAAAAGATTGATTGGCCTTACATTAAGGGCTCAATCAAGAGCCATTTATGACCAGTGGAAGTTCTGCTATAGAATTCATCAGGGTGAGATGTGCTCCCTTAGACCCCCAATACACTCAGGTATTATAGAATAAAAGCAATCTGGTGTTGGAAAACTGTAACTGAATTATATTGGCAAAATATGGTCAGGCCTTTCTTCCACAACTTTTGCTAACAAAACACCCTAATGAATGAGTATTCACAAGCTCTTTTATTTCAGCCTTCTCCAACCTGATGCCCTTCGGATGCTTGGGACTACAGTTCCTAGAATTCCTATTTGCTGTGCTCACTAAGGCTGATAGGAATTGAAGATAGAGGGCACCAGATTGGGAAAGTCTATTTCATTCCTAGCAGTACATATCTAGGTCTTCTAAATGGTGTTTTTTTTTTAAAAAAATATCAGTGCAATACACTATATCAAGATTTCTTGAACCCTGTAATGGTGAGCATCCCTAAGTGTGTTAAACTAATGCTATTTTGCTATTTTGAAATATGTTCACATCTTAACATGTTGGACCTGTGACAAAATACTGCAGTGTGAAATGTACCTCTTCAGTGTGCCTGCCAGCCTGAGAGCTTTTGAGGATTCTCTATTCTAATCTCTTCCCACTCCGCCCAGTTTTTATTTATTTGGAGAGCTCATTCCCAAATCAGGGTGCTGTAACCGAAAGGGCCCTCCTCCGGGTAGCTGCCCACCTCACTTCCTTTGGAAGGGGCTCCTGAAGATGACCTCAGATTCTGGGAAGGAATATATGGGAGGAAGTGATCCTTCTCATGACTTGGCCCCAAGACATTTAGGGCTTTGTACTAGCACTTTGAATTGAACCTGGACTTCAACCTTCAGCCAGTGCAACTGGAAAAGGACTGGTGTAATGCGTTCTCATGAGCCAGTCCCCATTAACAGTCTTGCTGCCCTGTTTTGCATCTCTTGAAGTTTCCAGACTATATTCAAAGGCAGCTTCACGTAGAGTGTCTTGCAATAATCCAAACGAGGTGGTCAAAGTGTGGGTACCTGTAGCTAGACTCTCTGTCCAGATAAGGCCATTGTTGGTAAATCAGTTTAATATGATAAATGGTGCTTTGTGCCATAGAGTCTTAAGTGATTACTCTGGGTCTAGGATAACTCTGGGTCTAGAAACTACAAACCTTGTCTTTTAGGGGGAGTGTGACCCCATGCAGAACAGGTTGATTATCACCCAACTGGTGAGATGAACCACCCACTAACAACACCTCCACCTTGTCCAGATTGAGCTTCAGTTTGTTGGCCCACATCTAGCCCATGCTTAGACATGGTAAATAACTTGTGACTACTGAATTTGCTCAGTTTTCACAGAACTAAGATAAGAGGGTAAGGATTGCCTGCTCTGAGGCTTTGATAAAGATTATTCTGTACTTCTGCAGACCTTGGAGTTCCTCAAACCTGCTGCTCTGTCCCTCCTGTATATAGATGGTGGTATTCTGGCTATATAAGAACCCTGATTGGGTGAATAGGTTTGCTGCAGTTTTATATTTCAGCAGTTTTCATTCAGTATACTGTTACTGTTTTATTATTGTAATATATTGATATGTATATTCATTTGTTGTGAAATACGTTGGGTATATTTGCATGGAAATACAGCATACAAATTAACTTACAACTTTCGCAGGTAAGAAAGAGAGATTGTTTGGTTTTTTAGCAGCAACAACTATTCTGAAGTCAAGTATTCTGAAAGATAAGAGATATAGTATGTATCATTAGAGTGAATGGATACTGTCAAGTACTTCAAAAAATATCCAAAAGAGCTTGGGGAAAGTTCTGTTTCACTTTAGTCTTTTGTTTTCTCACTAATCTTAACTCTCTCTGTCAGTATGCATGCACACACACGTGTATGTTTCTGCCTACTGGCCTGGTAAAAGTGTATAAGCCTACAACTTGTGGTCTTGCATCATATATAGGTTACTATTTGCTGTCTGCTGGTGTTTGTTATGCTATTTTAATTTGGTTCTTCTTGGAGTTCAGGTTCTCCTTAGGTACTCTGGCATTCATTTGGCCAAATTAAGTAGTGGCCAAATAAGCAGATAATTTCATAGTTTGGCACTAATAATTGTAAAAGACAAAATCCATATTCAGTTGATCATGACATTGGTTGAGATTATACTTCCTGTTATCGCATAGGATTAATGTATCAACTATGAATTTATACCTGTCTTAAGTTTCAAATTAATGTAGCCCCTCACTGATATATGTACTGTTTTTCACAGGATATTGCGAAGAATGAAGATAAAGATCAAAAATCCAAAGAAAATGGAGCAAATGTATGATGAACTTGCTGCTGAAAAGAATGGTGTTACATAATGTAATATAAATCATGAAACTGGAGTGTATGAAAGTGATGCATGTTTGATTTTAGTAGTATAAATACTTTAGTAAAAGCAAGGATGTATAAAGTTTTATAAATGTGTGAGCCTGCTTCAAATGATTGCTTGTAATTCATAGCCCTCAGTTTATTAGACACTCCTTGAGTGAAAATAATTTTGCATTGCAAAATGTTTTAGGGTAAAAACTTCATTATAGTTTGAGCGCTAATAAAGTTCATCAACTTAATGGGAAGTAGCAAGTATTTAATTACCAAATTTTTTCCTTTAAAGTCTAGTGGAAACAGTCTTTCATTATTTATAGCAACTCCATTCTTAGGTTTTATTTCAGTCTAATTAGTCTTTTAAAATTCAGATACAAATCATAGCATGCTGCTTAATTTTGCAAGTAAAGATTTTTAAAGAAAACCTTGAATTTCTTGTCACAATTTTTTTCCCTTGAAATCATGATTTTAACTCTTGGAAGTTCTTACTGCTGTTTTGATGCACAGTAATTGAACTTAACAAAAGTAGTAAAAAGGGAAGTTGATAACTTAGAATTTATATGAAAATACAGATTGGTTTTTACAAATTATGCCTATTTTGTATTCCTTGGAATGTCCAGTCTCTCCTTTCATTAATATATTAGCTACTTAAAACAAAAAGCAGTGTATGAAAATGTGGTATTGACTATTTCATACCTGGCCAGTAGACATCGGGATGATGCTTTGTCTGCAGAAACTGCAGCTAGTTTTATATTGGCTTTCATGAAATTGGCTATTTACTTTCCCAGTGTTAATTTCTTAAGATTTAAACAGCCCTCAGATGGATAAGGTATTATGTGCATTTTACACATAAAAATAAGCTTTATAAAAGACATAAATTTAAAGCTTTATGAAAGACATAAGTTTAAAAAGTGACATAGCATTTTTATTGTAATGGAATAATGTGTTATATAAGATTATATTTTGTCACAGGTGTTCTATTTAGTAGAGGAGGAGTAATTTAACATGAACTTGGAATCAGAGGTGTGAAATAAGGACTTTTGTTCTGGTTGTAATGGTATGGCTAACAGTGTTGGCAGCTATGCAGGCTTGTTGGCAGAAACAGTAAAATGTCTGAAATTGTTCTGTCTTTTAGGGGCAAAAAACCAATTTTCTATTTTTTCAGTTTTGGCTCCCTGAAGTCAAACATCTCTAACATTCTTGGTTGTGAATGCATATTGAATAAACACTTCCCATTCCCAGTCACATTGAAAATTGTACATTATTACCTACTTAATAAAGCAATCCTAAGGAATGCTGCAGCACAACCCAAAGATTTAAAAAGTCATCACAGATCAAATATAAGCAGTGGAACATTTCCATTTCACATTACACAGATTTGCACAAACACGTATGCTGAAAGAATGCGTTAGGAGACTCTGCAAGCTACCATGGTGTGACCCCAAGTTGCCCTTGTCCAGAGAAGAGATGCTTCCCCATCATCTGTGTATTTGACTGTAGAGGAATGGGTTCTTTGTATACTGGTATTTCTGCAGAGTTCCTCCTCGTAGGGTGGGACTTGGCCTTCATCCTAGTTTCTCCGAACATGGAAATGCTTTGCACACACATCAGTATTTGTGACGATTCTTCTCCCGTGCTTTGCAAATATACAGGTGGTGGTGAAGCTTTTCAGTCATGGATGACAACGGGAATTACGGTTGTAGTGTGTCACAGCACAGGTGGAGCAGTGCTAGCCAGTGTGGCCCTACTTTCTTACACCTTCAACACACAGAGGGGTGCTTCTGTGACTCTCACTTGTGTCACCTCAAACCATTATTTTCATTGACTCAGCTGGAAGTTGTCAAGGACTGTAAGTAATCGAGTGATGTACATGTAAACTGCTTCTGAGCTTACACTGTGTCACTGCTCTCTCCATCATCACTGTATTAAGCTTTCAGATACACACTGATAGTCTGTTCTTTCACTCTGTCTATTCTAGGGACAAATCTTAACTATGTATTCTTGGGCTCTTACGTGCTCCTCTCCTATTCCCTTTTCTCTTTCTGTCCCCTAACCCAGCATTTTGAATAAAAATAACACACCAGTGAAATTAGACTGCAATTGGGATATGATATTAAGTATGTGCTTGGAATAAGTATGGACTTTCTAGAGAAAATGTTTATTTAAAGAAAAATGGTAGCATTGGAGAAGAAGTAGAATGACTGAGATTGCAGTATGACAGGCAGAGTTGAGACAAAGAGGAGCAGCCTGTGCATTTTATTAGAAGTAGAAACTTCCGCTAACAAACAGAAAAGATGGGTATGAAGGATCAGATTGAGGTTGGTCCTTCCAGGTTGCATCTAGTAGTTGGACACCCAGTACTATCTTGAAACTAGACACTTTTCTGTGCAATGGAAGGATCCACGCCGAATTACCCAGTGTTACATCAGCACTGTCCAGAGCTATTGATACTCTAGGGACCATTGATGCTTGACCCACTTTGACTTCCTATCTGTAAACCCTGAGTAGTGAGTACATTATTTCTCAAAAAGAAAATATTAGTGGCATAAATTTAACAAAATTGCTGAACAGAACTTAGTAGTGATTGAATGGCACTGATTTTGACTTGTAGTATTTAGTAGCCCCATTTAAGTATTTTGAAATCATTAAGAATTGTAGTTGACTCTACATGAAGCAAAACTAACAAGATGGCAAGAAGAGCTTGGGGCCCTATAATACACAAAGCATTGGTTGGTGACTTGCTCAAATACAAGTTTGTAACTTATGGCCATTTGTTACTTTTTGGTTTAAATGAGACCTGTTGAAAATTTAAGCATAACCCATGAAAAGAGGATTGAAAAGAGGCTCCCCTCCTTATTCATCCCTTTAGCTGCACGTAATGAATGTTACTCATTGGCCTAATTTCTGAATCTTCAAGGCAGTGTGGGTGGCATTTGTGGCTGACCTAAATAAAGGTCTGGTACATCTGCAGCAAACAAAAATAGGAAGAAAGAGAATTGTGAATGCAGCAAGATATTCCCTACTCTGCTTTAGCTAGCCTATACTTACTCTCATTCACTCTTTTATCTTCCAGTTGATACCTTAAGTGTGTGGTATTTTTTCTGAACTTAACAAAAACACCACCATATGGCTTGTGCTTTTGAGATGAAAGCTGTTTCCTACACTCAGTCACCCTACTTGGGACTGGAAGGAAATACATATTATCTCAAGTATTCTGATGAAGCAATGTGTTTTAACAGCCAGCATGGTATAGCAGTTAAGAGCACAAGACTGGGGCTCAGGTGATCTGGATTCTAGTCCCTGCTTGGCCATGGAGACAACTGCATGACTTTGGGACAGTCACAGACTCTCAGCCCAACCTACCTCACAGGGTTGTTGTTGTGGGAAGGAGAGTAGCAGGAGGAGAATTATGTAAGCTGCCTTGAGTTTGTTATAAGAAAAAAGTAGTACATAAGTATAATAAATAATGGGTATGTATTGTCCTTTACCAGCTGTGCAAATACCATTGCAAAGCTTAGAGAAGAGAACTCAGAAGGAGCATTAAAGATCAAATTGGAATTTACAGTTAGCCTCATACCAAGTCAGAAATTCACATAATCTCTTCTGTGGTATACTTACAATTTAACTAAGAGACTTCTGAAGAATTGCATCTGATTTTCATTTGTTTTTAATTTTTATTATTATAGCACATACTTAAGTACAGATGGAAATTTAAAAATATATCAGAAAAATATAATCGAGCCAATAACATTTAAATTAATACAATAAAGTTAAATGTGAGAGTAGAGGGGGTTGCCCAGACTCCTGCAGTCTCGGTAGCCAGCAAATAATTAAGCCCCCTCCCATTTACATCTACTTGAGCCCAAGCCAAAAATGGAGCACAAAGGCAAACCAGCCCCCTCCACGTCACGTTCCCAAGCCTGAAAAGTTGCATCGAAACAACTAGCACAGCAGAAGGTGCTGAATTTAGTACTGATGTTTACCTGGAAGAAAATGCGCACACACTCTAAAGGTAGGAATTAAATTTATTTACAATTTACCATATTTTGCAAGTTCTCCAGCACCGATCACTGATCATTCTTTTTACTTCTTATCAGGGGTTAGGGTTTGGGGGCAGATACCAGCAATACAATTTTAAACTTTCTTCAGATCATCTAAATTCACATAGCACCATTCCTTCAAACTCCACTGTCACTGGTTGTACACTCCATTGTGACTAAAGTCTTCCTGTTAGGTCTTGTTTCCATTTTAGTGTGTGTTAATTTGTGCTTGCTGAATAACATACACGAGGGCATAGCAGATAACCATGATAAACAAAAATTCCATAAACAAAAAGTGCTGTATGCTTCAAGGCTAAGGTGGGTGCTGCCCCTACTCACATTGTGCTCAGGGAATGAAATTCTTTGGTTCATGCAGTGGATAGCATGCTTGGATCTCCGAGATTGGTAAGACAGTCCAGACTCACCCTTTTGCTCAACTGTGTATTTCAGGACCAGGCACTTGAGAGTTCAGGTTCTTAGTCCATCTTTCAAGTAGTATGCTTGAAAGAGTGCTACTTCCATTTTTTCCCAGTTTCAGGGGAATTGATGTCACAATTCCACATTAGCATGTGGACATCTCCAAAAGGGATGGTAAGTGATCTGGCCTTTACTCTTTGCATAACTGTGGCTCTCTTGAAACTTCAAGAGTCTAGCATTAACCAGAAGAGCTTGGCTTTCACCGTGCAAGTCACAGTAAGCACCTGTGTCTCTGGCAGCAGAGCTCCATTATATTTGTGAAGAATGGGAGGTTTAACACAAGTTCATTTGCAGGTTGCACAAGCGTCCCTACTGCAATCACTTCTACTACCTTCCATTAATTTTAAAAATGCTTGTTTTATTTGCTTTTCAAAATTAAAAACAGTAACACTATAAGCCCCATTAAACAAGAAAGAAGACATACACAGCAGCTTAATCTGTGTTTTGTTTCCAATTTAAAACTAGGTCCCATGTAATTATTGCAAAATATCTTAAGCACACCATTAAAAACTCTTACCTCTGTTAAGAATCATACATTATTTTATCATTACAAATAGTGCATGTTTTAATGTAAGCCACTTCAAGAGTCTTTAAATAATTGCATGTTTCAAATAAAGTACTTCCACAGAAAAAATTAAGTTCAAGATTTCAGAAGAAAATACCCCTCACTGTGTATCCTTTAAAAGAGCAGTTCCCAAATTGCTCCACAGAACCCAAGGATTCCACAAAAGCCTTGTAGGGGTTCTGCAAAAAATCTCAGAAATCAGATTTAAAATGGATTTTAAAATAAAACTACACAAAGCCAACTATTTGATTGTCAGTTGGCATCCATGCAGCAAACAAGGAAATGCATCACGTTATTTGGTTCCTAGAACTTTGTTGGGTAGTGTTGGGTATAATCAAAATAATTCATTTGGGATTTTACAATATTGCTTTATTCATTTGTTACAATGCTTTCTCTTTTCAAATCTACTATGTTATGCAAAGCACACAGGCATAGGAGCAGATGAAAGAAGGAAGACTGCTGTGAGTTCACAATGTTTAATAAAAATCGGGTAGAGTTAGGGTTCCACAGGAAAACAAAATGTCTTTAGAAAGGTTTCATGACTGAAAAAGTTTGGAAATGCTGCTCTAAAATTCCTTTATCATGAGTCTTTTGCTATCAGGCCTCAATAAGCAAAATCTAAGGGAGTTTTCACTAAATGTTTTTTCTCCTCCACTCTTTCTTAAGAGCTTAAATGCTTTGATACATTAAGCCTTAACATACAGGAAAAACTACTCTCCAAGAACACAAGTAGAATACCTATTGATTTGCAAAGTTCTGCTACTTTATCTTGATAATGGTGTTTGAAGTGCTGCTTCCTTTGTAGTGAGAAGACAAAGGTCCTTTTGTTTAGCAGGCTTTACTGAACATTTAAAAATTTCTCAGTGATCTTAGGTTTCTGCCCTGACAAGGAAACACTTGGTGGACCTAATCCAGAGATCTCATAATGACACATGAATGAAATGTTCTCTAATGAGCAATGTTTACTCATTTGCTTCAAATAACACAGTGGTCTAGGCATTTAAAACATTATACACATTAATCACTGACACAATGGCTTCTGTATGGCTTCCATGCAATTCATGGGTTTAAAATGGCAGAGAAAATCAAGGAACCCCATTTAAAAAATGGAAAGGGAGAGAGATCAAGCCAGAGGGGGGATTTTTACCTCCTATTCCAAGTGCCTGCTTTTCTAACCTGAGCCACGGATGGAGGTAACCTTCCTCATGCCTGCCGCTTGTTGAACTGGGAACCAAGAGCCTAAATCAGATGTGCATCTACACTGAATTGCTTTTAATCAGTATTCCAGTAGTAGTCATGATGTAGGCAGAGATGTGGACTGCACGCAACCACAAACGATTCAGTGTGGGTGGCCCACAACTGTATCTGTATCCCCACTTGCACCACATTCAGTTTGCCTTATGCTCAGTTGACACTTCAGGCACTAATGTTGGTGGGGTGTCATATACAGGAACATTAACAGGTCTGTCCATGGTGCTGAACCATACTATCCTTTGTTGCCTATGATTCTTTAAAATTTTGGAGGACATTCCTTCTCAGAGTCTTATGGATACCTGGAGGGAGTGAAAGTGGACTCAGAGTATACACTGTTATCCAAGGATAATTCTTAATAAAGCAAGTGAAGAATTGTTGCTCCTTTTTCTGCATGGTAGTTTCGCATGCTACAGTCCCAACATGGGTTAGGTAACCCGTAGTTGGCTGTTGTATCCTGCAAACTGGCTCATATGGATAGGATTGTCCTACAGACTCACCAGCAGAGCTTGAGAT